TGCCAGACAGGAAACTGTTAAAAAAAAGAAAAAATAGAAAAACAATGTCTGACTTTTATAAAATTTTTATTTCTTATTACTTTTGTCAGATTCAAGTTATTTTGATGACCATTGTGGGTTTTCATTAAAAGTGGGGTACCAACAATTTAGTCTAAATCTTTATCCCATCCTATTAACTTATGTTCTGACTTGAGAAATCTTCTATAATGTAAACAAAAAAACATTTCTATGAAATTAGACAGAAACAAGTCTGAAAATGGTGACAAAAACAGCCAAAGTCATTTATTTATTTTAAAAACCCTTGTTGCTGTTGCACACTCAACTTCTTTCTAGTTAAGAGAGAACGTTTGACTGCAAGAGTAAAATGCAAAGATACTAAGATGATAGTGAGAGCTCCAACAATATATGGCTTGTTTGGTGCCTCTAAGCCAAAAGAAATATTATTTCATAATATAGAGCAATCACATTAAACATATCAAACTTGTTTTTACATCCATTACATGCAGAGGGATGTTTCAATACTTTGGGTTATCGCTACTGAAAGCATAACATTTTGTTTCCCAAAAATTATAGAATAACACATCAAACATAAGAAAGGTTATTTAAAACAAGCCTCTAGAAAGTATGATCACATTCTCCACAATATGTGGCCTCAACACTTGGGCCACACTTGGACAGTTGTTTGCATGAACTACTGGATCAGTGCTGATGTGATGTGGTGAGATGTTCTGGAAGCACAGGTTCCTTTATTTGTAGCATTTAAATCATTTGCACTGTTGATAATGTTTCTCTTTTCTTCCTCTTGACAATATCTCGTGTATTCTCAACACACCAGTACTGTTTACTGGCCAATTAAAGCCAGAGATAGCATGATCGGTATCCCCATAAAACAGAGGAAGAGCTCTGAAACTTCCTGCTATATAACTGCACAGGTTTTGATAGAATCACCACAATAAGCACCTTTGTTTCTTTTACACATTACGACATCCTATTAATTTCATCCATCCTATAAGGATTAGTGAGCAGCTTGCTGCACCTGGGGAGCATTGTGAGCATTTAGCTCACGGACCTACAGTCTGAGGGATTTTGAGCTTTCATCACTTCCTATTATTATCTCATAAAACAAAGTGATGCAACACCTGCAAGAGACATTACTCTCCAAACCTTTAAAGTCGTAGGGAAATCATATTTAAATGTCAAATCATTCTGGCTTAAACATGTATATAAATGTACTCTTTATCAGATATTGTCGCAAAAGTTAGAACATTTCTATATAAAAAAAAAAAAATCCTGTCTTAAAATCTGTGTTTGTTTGTTTTTTTCGCTATCTTATGCAGGCCGGTTAGTTATACGTCAGCCTGTACACCTA